ATCTATCTATCTATCTATCTATCTATCTATCTATCTATCTATCTATCTATCTATCTATCTATCTATCTATCTATCTATCTATCTATCTATCTGCACTTCATTATTCAGGTATTTCAATTTAAATTACCATGAAATAAAAATAATAAAAAAATTTAAAAAATCCGACAGTTTAATCAGTTTTGTCAAAGAAAAATTGGTCTGGTGAAGATATCCTACTTTGTGTATTTGTCCTACTGTCCTACTGCTTTATTAATAATCAATTTTTTTTGACTACTTTATTTTCCATACCTGGTATTTATGCTGCTGTAGGACAAAGAGACCCCTTTTCGTCGTTCTCTGTTCTTCCAATCTGCAATATTTCCACCTAAAATGTTATGTTCTCTCTGCTTTTTCCTGTCATGGTAGCCTCACCTGGGTTTTTCTGTTTGACTGTGACTCCATCCTTGATTGAAATATCAGCTGTGCTGCTGCCATCAACATCTCTGTTTAAATTTCTTGGAATTGATCTTTTCAGTATACTCCTGTTCTTTACATTGCAACTGGCACAGAGATCATCTACCTGGCTGTGTCTTTCCTGGACGGGGCCTCACCCATGGAGCTATTTTTTTTTTGTATCTCTGCTTTTTTCTGTATGCATCTGTCTCCTTGAACCCCAGTTGACCCGGGCAGATGGCTGCTCACACTGAGTCTGGTTTTGCTGGAGATTTATTTCTGTTAATAGGGGTTTTACCTCTCCACTATTGCTGCATGCATGCTTGGGTGCGAGGGAAGGGAGCTGCATCTTCATCTAGGAGAAAAATGTCTTGCAAGTCAATGACTCAATGCAATCAACTGGTTTTCTTTGATAGAAACTTTTAACCAGTCTGACTTTATTGTCTCTGTAAAGCACCCGGAGATGACTTGTGTTGTTAAATGGAACTCTATAAATGAATGAATTGAATCCAATTTAAATAGAATATAGAATTCCCTGCCTAATTAGGCACAGACTCCCCTCAGGGCTGTGTCCTGAGAGCGTTCTGACCTCACTGTGTGGTGTGGAGGCTGCAGCGCCTCAGACTAGAAGAAGGTGAGAAGAGTGGTGAGAAGAGCACAGAGGATCATCGGGACTCCTCATTACTCCATTGAAGACATGTCATCCCAGTGGTGCGTGTCCCGAGTCTGTAACATCATCAATGAGCTCTCACACCCCCACCATGGACTGTTCTCCATTTCTCTCTGGGAAGAGGCTTTGCAGCATTCCATGTAGGTCCAGCGGATTCTGAAAAAGCTGTGATGAAAGCAAGAGGTGCCTAGCCCACAGTAAACCCCAAAAATGCGCGGCAACGCAAAAGGACATACGTAGCTGCTGCTATTATATCTTTTTTTTCTCCAAATCCATCTTGGAAATAGGATTAAAAAGGGCATAAAAGCTTACATTTCTGTGGTTCCTCTTGGAGTCTACTACTGTTTCATTTGCAAAAGTTCTTTTACTGAAACCAAACTAGTAGGTGAGTACAATTTGCCACTTTGTCCAATCAGCTCAAAAGATTCTGCTAAATTTCCTTCCTTTCCCAAAACAGATTGGAGGGGAGAATTCAGAGATGTGTAAAACTAAACCTGAATGCTAGACATTATTAATCTATCTAGTCAGGTTATTTCCAAACAAAAAGCAGGCCAATAAACAACAAATACATTGACAAATCATAAGACTTGTAGAGTGCAGCTTGGCACAAGCCATTTCGGTGACTTAGCAAACATACAGAACTGGTTATGGTCAAATAAGAACAAAACTGAAGCTTTTGATTTGCATGTAAACACCGGGGAAATAAACTAAAGTACACATAACCCTGGAAACACTATTACCACATCGAGAGACATGTCAGTGCTCTATATACTGTAGTAAGAATAACTTTCTACAGCAGTGACAATACCATACCTCTAGAACAACAATTCATTTGTTAAGATCAAAATCATTTTTATGTGTTCAAATAGTCCAAAGTAAAAACCTAAATCAAAGTGAGAAACTGTAGCAATGCATGTAAATAAACTTTCATGATCACTCTTAGTCCAATCAGACGTTTTGCTATTTTGGAAAGATTAGAAAAAAACATATTTATTTGTCTACTTGCAGTACTATTGCCTCAACTAAGCTGTGCAACTTGCACTTTCCCCCCCCAGACTTTTCTTTATGAAAATAATAAAAAAATCATGTTTCAATCAACCCCCACTTCACAAATATGCACTTTTTTTAAAAACTTAAAAACCCTATAAAGGAAATTTTACCCTGATCACAGGATTGAATTGATATGGTTATGTTAGGATTATGTGGACATAAAGTATATGTATATTTATTCCATCAAAGCAGGTGTCTCCAAGGAAATCCATTAATAGAAATCTGGGAATACTTTAGAGCTGGGATTGGAAATACTGGTAGAAAGGACATCTCTGTTTTTTCTGAATACCAGTGCCACCGTGTGGTGAACATCAACAGGCACATACAGTAAAAAAAGGATACATATTACCATTTGTACTTCTAATTAAGTTTTTTGGTTGGAAGATATATATCTATATATAGATATATATCTTGTAAAAGAGAACTTGCATGCTTGTACCTTCACCATTTAGGGATTATTCACCAAATATCCTTATAATAAAAATACCCTTTAACTGTTTTGCAGATGATTACCAGATGTACCTGCATCTATTAATAATAATAATAATAATAATAATAATAATAATAATAATAATAATAATAATAATAATAATAATAATAATAATAATAATAATAATAAAATAATAATAATAATCTTGTTGATACCAAGGTTTTGATGTCTATGATTTTTTAGGTTTTCAATAAGAGAAATCCGAATTTCCCCATTTCTGTCCCCTCTCTCTTTATAAATGCTTAATGATATTTTAACCTTTATGAGGTTAAGCCATATCTTACTCTACACTCCTTTAAATGATCTGACAGGCTATTTTTAATTGTCCAAAATAAAACTAGACAGAAACTGAAGAAGATTAGGCTGTTTCAGTGTAACTTAGCATATGTTTTTTATTTATTTATCTATAAATCAACCACCAAAGATGCTTCACAAGAATAAAAAGAACTTACCAAAAAAATGATATGGTGCTTTTGAATATTAGGCATTTTCAGATTTTGTTCAAAGTTGTAAATAGTCAACAACTATACATTTATTTCCAGAAGAGGGCAGCAAAGACTCTTGGTAACAAGAATGCCTTTTAGGTGGCAGCATATACTGTGAATACTGTTCCTGAGGGAAATCTGCATTAAAAGTCCTAAAAATATACAAATTAAATGTTTAATGTTTTAAAGGAATGAAAATAACAAAATTAATTTTTAATCTTGTTGATAATACTAAGAAGAACGATAAAAATCATATAAAACAACTGAAATCTTCCCTTAACCATATGCACTTTTTTCAATCATGATTTCTATGGCATGTTGCAGTCACTTTAAAACACTTGTTCATATTGAATACTGAAAAACATATACACCAACTGAAGGCTTAGTACGTCACTGAAAATAACTCTTTCTAATGACAGAGGGTTGGTGCTGCAGCAGCTATTACATAAACACTGTTTTAGTACAAAATCCTGCAGTGCAGCTATGTGGTATTGGATGATTTGTAAGGCTAATTCCTCCTCACTCATTATTTCAAATTGGCACAGTCAGAGAGAAAAGTGTCAGCATGATCCTCTTGGTTGAATTCCTGATTATGTGTTTAAATTTAATGTGTGACTAGGAGAGTATTTAGTGGAAGAGGAAGGAGTCATCTCATTCTATGCAAAAAGAGTCTAATCCCCTTGAAAATTTGTCATAGTAAATCTGCTTTCTTTAAAGTGCTCTGTAGTGAAGAGTTAAAATGGGGTTTTCTAATCTCTAGTTGTTACTAGAACTAAAAATACAGAATTACATAATCAATCACTGTGATTCTTTATGATGTCTCTAACTAGTCTGTGATATAATCTAACCTGTAACATGTCATTGGTAATGTTCAAAGGATTTACACTGACCTTTGCTTATTCTCTAATTAGCTTTGACCCTTGTCCTAGATTGTCTTCAGTAAGTAAAGGCTTGTCGCCTGGGTGATAGTGTAGGAAGATCCACTGCTGCTGGGTTAAAATCTATATGCTGTGACTTCAATTTTTTTTTTTACAACATGCTAAGTCTATCCCTAAGGATGTTTTCTTTAAGTATACTTATTTAAGGACAATATTATTTGTTTCTAATCTAAATATTCATAGTTTTTAACATGTTCACATCTTTTTCATCTTAGAGGTCCCTTAAAGGGCTCCATATATTGTGTAAATAATGCAGCATTTAACAAAGAAGGCCGATTTTAGGGATTTAGGGTTAAATATAATCTTGGTTCTATTGGGACAGAATTTTAATATGATCCATATTTAACAATGTTATCTTTTTTCTCTATGTCTATATCCCCACTCTGGAACAAGATATTGAAGCCAAATTGAAACCAGAATGTGTGTTTGGTTTAGCTAGATTTAAGCTGTCTGCCTCAGTGTGTGTGGCCACTATT